GTCCGGTGGCGCCAACAAAGTGTGCTACGTGACGAGATCAGGAGGATTGATGTTATGACTATTATGAAAACGTGACCATAGGATACATGCTAGTAAACTGTATATGCTTGCTTATGATTATTGGCTGTGCTTATCTATCGTATGCTTGTGAATTGTCTACGCTTGGTTACGTCTGTTAGTTGTGGTTACCCCTATCGGTCGAGTCTATTCCCTGATTTGAAAGCTAGAGTCTCTCAGAATATATCTTCATGCTTCGAAATGGTTTTTCCGTATATCTATGTATATATCAATATGTATTGTATTTCAACGTGTTGGAGTGGGTTACCAGCATCTCTCGCTGAATAGTTATATTTGGCTTTCAGGCACAGAAGAGTAGACACTGGAGCGCGCTAGAACCCTGGAGTGTAGAAGTAGATAGTTTTCCTTTCGGCCTGCGTGCCATGTTATGCATTCTCTTTATTAAGGATATTAGTTAGTTAGCCTGTGCACCTGAGTTCTCCAGCTCAGGTGTGGCATAGCACCCCGTACTCTTTGTATCGTATTTTGGGGATTTAATGAGATTCTACCTTTACTATATAAGTTTTAATAGTCTTGAAAATCTGGGGTGTTACAATTTGTCACATTATTGATTCATGTTACTCGTTTTGTTTGAACTCGTCGTACCCAAGCTTCGGGAACGAAGCTTCTTGTTAGGGGGAGAGGATGTGACACCCCGTAAATCCAAACTCTAATCAAGGATTAATTAGAGAATTAATCCTAGCTCCCCTGTTAATTTATTCCAAAAAGTCCTGAAAATTCAATAGTCGGAGGACTAGAATTTGACTAGTCAACCAAGGTCAAAGGGTTGTACCTTATGCTTGTTGGGTTGTTCCCTTGTTTCCTTATTCTTCTAACTTTAGTAAGGGCAAAGGTGTCTTTCTACCTAAAGTTTGTGCTTCAAGCTAACCTAGCAACATCTCTTCATTTCATCCACCAACACTCTAAACACAAAATCTCTACCTTATCTCTAAGAATTTGGTAGCTTCTTCTCCAAGCCAAAATTTGGGCATCCTAAATCTTGCAAGTTGTCTTCCAAGATTCCTACTTTCCTAATCTTGAGCATAGGGGGGGGGGGGGGGGGTAAGATCCTTGATCTCTTGGTGTTTTAGCATCCTTTTAGTTGTCTTTTTCTAAAAATAGAATCTTTGTTGTCTTTTGGTTTGTTTATGAAGTTGGTGTGGGAGAAGAGCTTTAGGAGAAGCTTTCTAAGGGTGAGAAAGTGAAGTGTTAGGCTACAAAGGTAACCCATGCTTTACAAAACCTATTTTCTTACTTATATGATGATTTCTTGGCTTCTACTTGTGATTCTTGTGTTGAAATGTGAGATTTGATTCATTGTCTTGTGGTAATGCATGTTTAGAGCTTGTTAATAGGGTTCTTGTATGTCATTGCTTGGATATTTCTTGGGTTCAAGTCATATTGTTGTACTGTGTGAGATTTTGGGTGTTTTGGACTTGAATTTGGACTTGTTGATGAAAATCCCCGAAGGGATTATTTTGGAGTACAAGGTGTACCCGCGGGCGGAACGGCGGGCAGGGCACCACCCGCCGCCCCACCCGCAGGGAACAATGCCTCGTGGGTTCTGTACCCGCGGGCGGAACCACGGGTGGTTGTCCACCCGTGGCCCCACCCGCGGGGAACATGTATGGGATGTCGCGGGGATTTGTTCCCCGTGATTCTTTTGACTCGGTATTGATGTTTTGACCTCCCGATATTGTTGTATTGGGCTATTTGTGAGTCTTCTTGATGTTTCGTATGTCTAGAACGGTATGCTAAGAACCCATGTAGGATTTGGTGTCTTGAATCGTGCTAAGGGTCCGACTTTGTGATTCGTTGGACTATTGTGAGTCTTGTATGTTCTTAGGAACTACTTTTGGTTTACCCATTTGATAAGCATGCTAGTTTGATGTTGAAATGCTAGTGTGTGCGGTTTGTTCTTTCCTATTGAGATTGGCAACTTGTGTTGACCATCGTTTGGTGTCGGATTGTAATCATTCTTTGTTGAGTATGGTTTCATATCTTTGTTGTGATCCATTGATTGATTCCTATGATGTGAACGTATGTAATCGTTTTACCCTTTGATTGATGCTTGATTAAGGTCATTGTGGAACCTTAGTCTTCTTGGTACTGATGAGGTCATCGTGTGGCCATGATTGAGATTGGTGGTTTGTTATTTGAGCTTTGCTCATGAGATTGGCGGTTTTGTGATATGATATTGAATGGTACCCTCGTGTACTAAGAGATCAGTGGTGAATAGGAGTGTCGGCGGTGGGGACGACGGTCCTCGGAGGCAAAAGGTTGGACTCAAGAAGTACAGGATGGCACTAGGAGGTAATGGTTGGAACTGAAATAAGGGCGGGGGTAGCCATAAGGTTGGAACAGGGCATAAGGTTGGAACTATGACATGTAGTTGCCAATATGTGAATGTGTAGTCTTTGCTATTGAGCATGTCTTGATGTATTCTACTTTGTGATAAGTAGAATACATCTCGATTTGTATTGTTTACTGTTGGTATTCTTGTCTTGTTGCTGTCGTAGGGATGTTGATTTCCCTTTTCCTTTGAGAGTGTGAATAAGTCTTTGAAGTTGACTTCTCTCTATGGCTTTTGAAATGATATATACTGTATTCCATTTCGAAAATGGTTTTGACTTATACTATTTATATATGCTATTTAACGCGTATTGATGGGTTACCAGTAATGTTCGCTTACCGGGTGTCATCCCCTATCTTTATGTTGCTTTACAGGTTTTGAGTGGCATATTGGAGAGCGCACTAGCAGATCGTTAGTTAGTGTAGCTCCTTGTGACTTGTTTTAGTTAGACTTGTGGCCTATGAGCCGTGGATTTTTAATAGTATGACTATGACGTTTTGTTTAGACTTAGCCTGTGCACCTATAGATGTGTAGGTGTGGCATAACATCTCCCGTACTTGTTTATTAGCTTCCGCTTTAATTTAATCTTAATGAGTAGACTTTATCTCTTCCTTTAGCTTTGATTGGTTTTAAAAGTTGTTGATAATCGGGGGTGTTATAGACATATCCGATGGGACAAGCTTCAACTCAAGCAACACCAACACCAAGGCCATTGAATTGAAAGAGATGAAGGTCGTAAGGCATACTTTGGCGGTCACTTTCACAGGGAGGAGGACCAACTTGCACAAGGTGTATCGTTCGGATCTATTTCACCTGTAGAGTATGCAAAAGTGCAAGGAAATCAACATGGGGGTAAAATGCAAGACGTGGATGGCTACCCAAAGCCATACTAGCTCCCCAAACATCTTCATTGGTCCATTGCTCACTCGATTGATCCAAGGTATGGGTTTGGAGTCCAAACTAAGAAAGGAAAGAAGGATTTCTAGCCTGACTCCGTTGACCATTGACAACTTCAAGCAAGCTAAGATGGTCCGATTGGGAGAAACCGCCCTAGAGGAGGAAGAAGACGAAGTTCCACCACCACCTTCACCACATACTCCACCGCCACCCATGCCCGAGGTTCCATCCGACGTGCCCCTAGTCAACAATTGGCCATCCATGAGAACTCTCCAATACCACTCTCATCAAGAGCAAATGGCCATTCTAAGGGCCCATGGAGAGCAACTCGAGTGGCATGGCCTAGCACTTGCGAGGCATGGAGAGACACTTGAGAGGCAAGGTCAAACCATAGAGATGCAAGGGCAAGCCATCAATAGGCATGGGCGAGCCATTGAGGATCTTCAAGCTCAGTTTTCCCGGTACTTCCACCCTCCATCCTTCGGTGACGATATGTCTTGAGCCACACCCCAACAAGAAGAAGAAAGAAAGAAGAAAAGAAAAAAAAACACATGAAAGAAAAACATTGAGTCCCTTGGTTACCAAACTTTGTGATTGAACACTCATTTACTTTCGCGCAATTTACTTTCACGCATTTTACTTTGCATGCACTTTTTAGTTTCTTGCAATTTTTTTTTAAAAAAAATAAAAAATTCCCTAAACAATGTGAGGGTTAGCATGAGAAGCCTAATTGAACTCCACTTTCTTTTAGGTGTCATTTTCTTTTTAGTAATTTCATGTTTGATGTTTTTCTTTAGCCATTGTATTGTTATCGTGTCATTCACATTGGGCTAAAGACGTTAAACGTGGCGCTCTTGGGAGGCATCCCAAGACCTATAAAAATCCAAAAAAGTAAAAGTAAGAAAAGAGTGTAGATAGTTAGGGAGTAGCTTGACTACTCCATTGCACTTTTTGATTTAATATCATGCACATATGCCACTAACCACTTTTGTGTAGCTTGGATATGATGGTGTAAAGTGAATAGGATGCTACATGTCATGAAAAAGGGGAAATGTTCTTCATTGGGTGACATTATCTATTCCTTTTACATTTTGTGTTAGGAATAAAGTGTAATGGTTTTGATATGCCAAATATGTATTTGTAGATCCCCCAATTTTATTTCTTAGGTCTAGTAGAGTCTTAGACCATGATCAGGAAATTATTTAAATTGGAAAAGAGAAAAACAGAGGAAGATGCATGAAACACTACAAGAAAATTGCTCATTAGTGAGAGGTAAAACCGTCACTAAAAACTCAAAAACCATCATAAAAGACTTTTAATGACGGGAAATTTACCGTCACGACCCGTCATTATTTCTTCCGAAGTTAAAAACAAATAGTGACGGGATATGATACCATCATTAGTAAACATATAGTGATAGTATATTTACCGTCACTAAAACGTTCTTTTTGTGACAAAGAATCCCGTCACTAATACAACTACTCACTAACATAATTTCCTCTCTTTATATTATTGTAATGATGAAAAATCCCGTCATTATATTAGATTTTTCCCGTCACTAAAAATTATAATTTAGTGTTAAATATTATTTTTCTAATTTTGTATATATTGTTACTTCTCATTAAATATTAATTTTTATAACTCCCACTAATCGTTATTATGTTATGTTGTAATTATAGATATTGTGTTGGCCAAAGTAAACTCAATCAATATATTAAAAGACTTCATCATCACTACCAAAATGAAATGTTTCATACAACTTTGTAAAGACTAAAGGTAAAGAAACTAATTATAACAAATAGCCATAGTAATGTATCTATTGGCTATTTTGAAAAATGAGATGGTACAGATAAACATGTTTAGTTTAGACAAAAGCAGCCCCAAAGCAAAAATGTCTAGTCTACTTCATACAAAAAAAAAAAAAAATTACTTTCTATGTGGTGTTTGGTATGCCCTTTTTCATCAATAGCTTTGCCACCTGTAAATAAAAATAATCAAGGACAATATACTCAGTATAATTGAATATGCAATTAAAGATCATGCATGCACATTTAACTCACAATTCAACCAACCCAACCAGATAGATGAAGGGCCAAGAAATACTAGTGTGCAACTCAAGTTATATATTCCCAAATAAAACTCACAACTCAAGCTAAAAGACATTTATAAAACCTTAACTCAAGAAAAAATCAGCAAACTTTAAATGCAAAAGTGAAGTGAACTTACATCATTGACAGGATACATAGCTCGTGAGAACAAACACATATTCATTGAGATATTTTCACAAACACATGAGGAACAAAAACATTCTCTTATTGCAACAAAAGCCATTTCAATAGTTATTAACTCATCAAACAGAACAAAATTATAAAACTAAACCTGCAAACTTAAAATTCTTCCAATGTCAACAATTAAGCCAATTAGGCACAAAATTCCCACACCGAAGTTAGCTTTAATAATTCCACAAATCATAATGACAGCAATTGAGAACATTAAAATCAAATCTAGCAACTTGAGTAAACCATAGCGAATCAAATTAAACCTAAAAGATCAAAGTAACGAAAATTACAACAAACAAGATGATTAAATGCTAAGATTATGTTCTGAAGAGTTGTTACCTTAAGTAATATGGAAAGTTATCAAATGAAGAATCTATATCCCGTCTATCAATCATCTTTCCCTGGATGTCTTCTTTGAATACTGCACACTGAAAGACATCCCTGATGTGGATGCTTGGGTCGAATCTATGGTCCACTCTCTTTCTTCTACCTGTTCACAGATACCCAAGTAAAATTGTGTATAGAATATATCACTTTCATTAGGAAGAAAGCTAAAGGATACATAAGCATCGCTTCCCAGCAAACCAAAGATAATCTCATTGTGTCCCTATACATTTTACTTACAAGAATGTGAAACAATGGTATCAACATGAGATGGGAGACTAAGGCCAAATGCCAGCCTATAAACTGAATGTCTGAAAGTGGTTTTTATACAGAATAGTAGTTGATCTACCAAAAAAGCACACTACCCTCATAATCCCTAAACCAACAATTCTTTAATATTGCGAATACAAGAGAAGTGCCTTCAGGCATTAGTCAAGTCCATGAAACAGCACAAATGTTAAAATGCACTATTGCTAAGCATCAAGGGTACATAAGGAGAGAACTAAAGAATTGAAATTTTAAAAGCCATACCTGTGTAAGTCTTATTGTACACAAGATCCCACTAACTGTTTGGTCCTTTATTAAAAGATTTGCAGACTTGTTGGAGCCAACAGAGAAATTTGACATAGTTGAGTTCTAAGAAATAAAAAAAAAAAAAGAAAGAAATGAATTGCAGATGATATTATTTAGATTATTATAAGAGTGGTAATGTAATACATAGGAGTGTCAAATATTTACAAATTTTACAGCCCATTCCATATCAACAACTAATCCAGCCACATCAACATAGATGCTACCAACAAATTTCCATAATTACAAAAATATGAACCTGGCAGGAATTAAGAGCCAAAGGATTCTTCCCTAACACTTTACCCCTATGAATCTGTAGCTTAATCAACATCCCAAGCTACCATCTCCCACCAGTCACTCTATAGCAAACCTTCCCTCGTCCCTTTCCTACTGGGCTTCTCTATGATGTCACCACTACCCACTCAGTCAAACAATACAATTCTCTGTATAAGAAAACTAGTATACATGTGAAAAAAATACAATTCTCTGTATAAGAAAACTAGTATACATGTGAAAAATAGTTTTCTTTCTTTCAAAAAACTAACAAACTTTTAATCTAATTACATTTAGCAAAACCAGTATGAGACATGATTAATCAAATAATTAGAATATTAAACTCTTCATACCTCATAAGACATTACATTTAGCAAAACCAGTATGCAACTATGCATCCCAATTCCCAGCTTTAAAGCTTTTCAAACTAACCAAATTAAACCAAGTGGACATTTATGCATATATAATAGCTCAAATTATGCAATAAACCAGATTTAGACAAAACTACATGCTGCCCATAACTATATAAGTCCAGATGCTTCCTATTAGGTTTCTTCTTATTAAACTTTATGCAGTACATCAGCATAACACAACGGATTTAATATCTACAAAATGAATTCAATTAAAATTCACAACTTAATCTGCAAGGTAAAGTTATCAACTTTGCCAAATTCAAATATTTACAGAACAAGGAAAGACCTCAACCAATTTTTTGGTCAAAACAACACAATGCACTAATTTACAAGTTTCAAATATAGCAAATTCACTAATAAAATTACAATAAAAGAGAAACATAGGGATTTAGGGCTATAATGGGCTTAATGAAATTATGATTTAGGGACAAATGGAATTAGGAATTTAGGGATTAGGGTTTAAGATTTGAGTAATAGAACGAACCTTAGCTCAAAAGAAATGGCTATGGCAAGCGACTGTGATGGCGAAGACCCATGCGTGCACTGCTGCTGTAGGCTGTCGGAGTTGGTCAAGGAACGGCGGGAAGAGGTGGCTGTCGTGATGGATTTGGTGCGGCGGGAAGTGTACGAGCGGCGATTTTTTGTCTGAACAACGGGAAGATTATGAAGTTACTGGAGAAATACTGCAAAAAAAATAATAATAAAAAAAAAAAAAAACACTAAATCTAAGAAATTACCTTATGGTTAGTCAATAATGATACCTGAGAAAAACCCACAAGTAATTTATGGTGAAGAGAAGGGAAATAGATAGTGAACAGAAAGAGAGATGGGGAGATAGTGAGAGCGGGTGAGATACTGAGATGCACGGGAGGTGGAAAGAGAAAAGATGAAAGACGTGTGGCTGTAAAATTTTATTTATAAGAGGGCGCCAACAATAAAATTTTGGTGGGAATTAAATTTGAATGAAATAATTTTTCAACATCAATAGTGAGAGTAACAACATATTTTGTACCAATAGTGAGAGTATATTTTTAAAATAAGTATAAACATAAAATTCCGTCACTAAATGATAAACCTTTAGCTAGAGTAATTGTTAACCCTCACAAAAACTATGCAAATAATATATTTAGTGAGGGGTTTTTCTACCCGTCACTAATTTTTTGTCACTAAAAATGGTTTTTCTTGTAGTGAAAATAGTATAAGAAGATATCAAGCCGAAAATCAAGAATTTGTCTGGAGAAAATGACAAATTGAAGAAGAAGATGAATGATACAATATTCACGTCAATGCTACTCAAAGAAATATCCCAGAAGAATTTTCGTGAAGAAAATTAAGATTGGAAGAATGCATGAAATTGACTTGGAGATCAAGCATCTATGGAAAGAAAGGAGTAGATTAAAGAAGATTGGAGATTTAATCAATAGTTGTACGGACGAAGTGGATGATGCTTGATATGTTATGTAAAATGGCTCAAGTTCAAATCTCACCATCAACAATTTTACAAAGTAAAATTTGAGAAGCCAAATCTAATTAAATCTGATGGAGTTGGGCGCTAGTTTGACTTTGGGCACCAATTACAAGTGGAATTTGGGAAGCAATTTCACTTGGGTGGCAATTAGAAGCAATTGCATTTGGGAGCCAATTCAAAGGAATTGGGAGCTAGTTTCAGAGAAATTGAAATTGGGAGCAAGTTTCACAAGGAGCCAATTGAGATAAGGGATTCAATTCAAGAATTCAAGTTGGGAGCCAATTGAGCCAATGTAGAATTGAAAAATTGGGGGATTCAATTCAAGAATTCAAGTTGGGAGCCAATTGAGCCAATGTAGAATTGAAAAATTGGGAGCCAATTGAGATTGTAGTATGGGATGCAATTTCAAAATGGGGACCAATTAAAAGAAGACATGGAGACCAAATTGAATTGAGACAAAATTCAATACCTGGAGAAGTCTGGAGCCAATTTCGAAGTCAAAGGAAGTTTGGGAGCCAATTGCAAGTCAAAGTCAATTGGGAGCCAATTGCAAGTCAAAGTCAATTGGGATTAAATTGAAGAATATTTTTTAAATCCCAAAGATACAAGGACCACTTCAGAGCTAATCAGAGAAGCCGTTCTACACCCAGATATTTCCACTCAACATAAAACCAGAGGAATATCATATGAAGTTTGAGAAACCATTCGCATGAAGTTCAAGCTCTCAAACGGCTAGCTTATCCTTTCTGACATCTTTGCAGAAGATAAGATAAGATCTCTGACAAAAAGATACAAGATTTCAAAAATGAGAGCGTCTCTTTCCAACGGACAGATTCTCATTACCAGCTATAAAATGATGAAGATATGAAGACTTGAAGAACATGAGCAGACAACGAACTAGAGAGCAGAAAATACGAACTCATCAAGGAGATCGAATAGAACAATTAAGCTTAAAAGAGCATAGAGCAAAAATCTCATTTTGGTACAGAGCATACCAAAAATCTTCAAGTGAGAAGTGAGAAAAGAAAAAGAACTCAGAGAGCTTCAAAAGAGAAATATTCTGAGAGTTCTTAAACAGAGCAAAACAGAGCAAAAATATCAAGTGCTTTACTTGATATATTCAAAGAGAGAAAACACTCAGAGCTATCAAGAGAAATCATTCCAGAGTGTTTATCTTCATCAAAGAGACCTGCGCATCATTGAAGATCAACTACAGAGTCTCAGAAGTTGGAAGCAAGACAACACTTGTTTTGGAGCAAAACAAGAGAAGGGAGGAAAGTAGCACGGAGCTGTGAAATCCTGGATTGTCACACGGAGCTGTGAGATCTGAAGCAGCAGTGTCGGAGGCACTGGGCGTGATTAGTGCGGGCTTTGTGATCAAAGCACTAGATCACGGAAATTCATTGTATCTTGGAACCAAGGAGTGGTAGATATAGTGAATTGCTCTTGGAGATAAGAGCAAGTGGAGTAGGAGGATTACACCACCTCGCGAACCACTATAATTGTCTTGTGTTCTTTACTGCTTTCTTTACTTACTGCTCTTTACATATTCGCTCTACACGAGATATACTGCTCACACAATCTCACACACACTTTATGTTTATTTATTTCCGCTGTGCACCATACTCTAACAATCTAGTTAAGAGTTTTGGTTTATCTCTGGCTTAGCAATTGTTGTGCTGTGCGAAAAAGTTAGAAAGTCTATTCACCCCCCCCCCCCCCTCTAGACTTTCTCCTTACCTCTTTTGGGACCAACATTTTGTGCCCCAATTTTTGCACACATTCTTTAATTCTCCATTTATCATTCACAATGGATTTTGTCTTGCACCCCAAATCCCCGACAATACTTCTAAAGTGTGGAAAGGGATATGTAGTTTTATAGACCCGTGCTCCTTCTCCACCGAGTACTCAAAGTAACATCGATGACGATGTTCATTTAAAAGTGTGGAAAGGACGCACTTTGTGCTTTAATGGTTTTATTGCTCAATTGATTGAATGGTGCTTTATTGATGAGTGTGTTTGATGATGGAGAGTGCGTCATTGTTCATATCATGTTGGAAGTGTGTTAGTTGTGTGCCTAAAAGTTTTTATTCTTGGAATATCCTTAGGAAGTTACCTCTTTACACCAAGTGAGAAATGCATAGAAACCATTATGTTTACATTGTTGGATTCTTGCATGTATTCACCTCCTATTTTGCTTGGACCTTAGTCAATGATCTCTCGAAGTGGGAGTGTGTACCCCTGAACCTTAAAAATATAATTGATAGCGAAGCCCGAAAATTGAATTAACCTTGGTAGGGCATGGGGCAAAAGGTGAGCCTTTGGTGAGCATTGAGAGTAAATCCCTAAATCCTAGAAAAAAGGCATGAGGGGGTTGAAATGAAGAAAGAAAGAAAAAGGCTATGACCAAAAATAATAGTCATTCTATGACGTAAGAAACGAGGTGAGCCATCTCGCTAGGATTTGGGGCAAAGCAATTGCACTGTCTTCGAAAAAGCGTAGAGCTCTACGTGAAGTTGGTTGTCCCAACAACATTATCCTAGGAGACGAGAAGAGAGAGAGGAGGTGAGACACCCCACTAGAAATCGGGCATCCATAGCACTGACCTTCGAAAAATTATGGAGCTCCATGTGAAGTCGGGTCGCCCGATAACCGTTATTCCAGGGGGTTGAGAAGAAAAGAGTGCCCGCCTAAGCCAATTGGCGGGGAAAGGCGCAAGCCGCACCCTCACTTTACCTTTAATGCTTTTGGGCTTTGGCGTTTTGGTTGGATGCTGGGTTGGGGTGTGCACATTGTTCCCACTAGGTGGATCGACTTGAAGGCCTTTTCAAAATAGGAGGTGAACCCATATTTGGTTGTATGCTTGGAAAAGTGGTGTGAATAGTGTGTTCCCTTTATGCTTCCATTTTATCATTTTGCTAAGGGTTTTTTCTTCCTTTGTATATTCCTTGAGTTACATAGTAGGGCACATATTTAACACACTTGCTTGATGATATGGGGGATTTCACCCTCTCCGTTTTCTTACACATTCCTCTTGGTTGACCATTCGCTTAATTGAGCTATCTTTGAGTTAACCTTGAAAGTATCTTTGGCACTTACTTATTCTTGAAATGATTGAGAACTTGCTTGGGGATAAGCAAGAGTTAAAGTGTGGAAACTTGTGATAAGTGCCAAATACACTCATATTTAAGGGTCTTTAAGAGGGTGTTTTGTACTAAATTGATATCCTTTGTTTGTGATTTATGGTTAATTATGCTTGAATGTGCTGGAAAACTCCACCATACTTTGTATTTTTGTGATTGTGTAAGGATTTAAGCTTAAGAGGAAGGCATATGGGCATGGACCGGAGCATCCCGAGCCAAGAGTAAACCGGAGCAGTTTAGAGGATAATCCACGCTCGTGGAGCCTCGTGGATTGGAAACAGAAGATTCCACGAGGAAGATCCACGAGCATGGCATGCTCGTGGATTGGAGACAGAAGTTCCCATGAGACACATCCACGAGCGTGGACCTTCGTGGTTTGGAAGCTGAAAAGCCGATGAGTCCTATCCACATTCGTGGAGCTGAGTGAGAAACAACATAAGTGAACAATCCACGAGCGTGGGAGCTCATGGACCAGCTCGTGGATTGGAGGCAGCGCATGGTTGAGATGCAATTGGAGGGGAAAAGCTATTTGAAGGCCTAGATTAGACTTAGATAGGGCGTTCCGATCATTTTTACATTAGATACATTTTCATTTTCCCAATTTGGGAGTTCTTGGTTCTCTCTAGCCCTCTTGCATTGATTGAAGAACTCTTGGAGAAGGAGGCTTAACAATCTTCCAACTCTTGGAGCTAATTGTAGGAGTGAATCACCTTTGCAATCAAGTTTTGGTACTTTTACTTACTTTTTGTCTTTAATTGCTTTGTTAATTCTTGATGCAATGTGGATTTTCCTAGCTACAATGAGTGGCTAGATTCTTGTTAGGAATTGAATTGTGAATCTTGAGCATGATGCTACGCCTAATTAGGTTAGATGTTGCAATTGTGTTTGAATCTTGTTGTAATTGTGTGTAATTTATGCATCTTATGGAGTCCGACCAACTCCATGGGTAGTTCTAAACAAGTGAT